GAACCTTTAAAGATATCACCCTTAAGGATGCTTAAGAGCATGAGTATCCGTGATACCATGGGGTATCATCAACATTAGTTTAATAATTTAGTCTGCCACATGGTTCATGATACGTTTCATCCGTCTTACTCTATTGATACGTTTCACGCGAATATTTTTTTTTTTAATTAACTTTCTTATTCAACTTTTTTTGTTGTGATACTTCTTGTTGTATCATGAGTAATTAAGATTAATGAAAATTTAACTTGCCTAATGGACAATTTTTGTTTGGGATAATTCTTTTAGTAGAAGCCTCTAACAAAATATTTTTCTTTAAAATTTGTAACTGTTGCAAAATAGTTGTATTCGCAAAAATCTTTAATTTTTATTATCTCCTAATGTCTCAATCCATCGTACATGTTTTCTCTTATTACTCGAATGGACAACAAACGTATCGACAACATAACAAATTAAAGAAACGACTTGATTTAATTATTTTTTTGTACAGATACCTATTATTAATCCAATAATAACCAAGACTAATATATTTATAACCAGCTTTCAGTTAATTCAATCCTCTAAACCTAACTAGTCCTTGTTTATCTCCAAGAGGACCAAGACCAATTTGTTGTTGTTGTTCTTCTTCACTTCGATTAACATTAACCAATTGAGGTCTTTTACTTCAAGTAAAATTTTTAATAACAAAACCAGCAAATTATGTTGAAAACCTGCAAATTATCTCCAAGACCAATTTGTTCTTATTATTCTAGATTTTAATTTTGAATTCAATAACTTGATGAACGTTCAAATGCTAAATACAAACGGACCCAAATCATGTCAATCGTGAGGTTTTAGTTTTTTTTTTTTTATAATTGTTTTTGTAATTTTTAAACTGCATGCAGTGATTTAATTGATGAATGCGACAGTGCGGAAAAAAGAGAATAATAGCAACCTAGATGACAAAAACTCGGCCGTACATACATAGACAAATACAAATCAACCTGCCATAATTTATTCACATGTCACCCACCTTGAAGTAGTACAATCTCGTTTTTTCCTACACACGATTCTTTCTATCTAGTTCTAGTATAACAAAATATCAATATCTTTTTTAATAATTAAATATCAACTTCTCGTTGTGATATCACATATTGTATGCATGGATTCGAGTCAATAATACTAAAAAGCAGATAAATAGTCACCCCACGACCGAACTATGATTCCTATTTTTAGCTATTTCAGACATGTTACACATATATTGGTAAATAAAGATAGTCAGAGACATGTATATCTATATTGAAAAATGCTGTTACATTGCATATATAGATTTGTCTTACACAAACGACCGAAACGGTGCGATTCCCAATGATAAGGTTACCACATACTTACACGACTCTCTCTAGTGTCTCGTCTCTTTCTTTCTTCATCCCTCTCCTTTGTCTCATTTCTTTATATTCTTTACTTTTAAATATGCATAACAATTAATTTATAGATATGTCGTTTTCTCCACCCTTCTATACTCTATTTTTTTTTTTGTTCTTTTTGTATCCTTATGTGTCATGAAAGCAAACCACAAGAAGAAGAGATCATTAACAAGTTCTCTAAACCGGACACAAATGACCAAAACCCGTATTCTAAGCACGACCCGTATCCCAAATCCCTTCGCGGCGGCGACGCCAACTTCATGGAGCAGCTCCTCCTCCACTGCGCCACGGCCATTGACTCAAACGACGCTGCATTGGCTCACCAAATCCTTTGGGTCCTCAACAACGTCGCACCACCCGACGGTGATTCCACCCAACGTCTAATCTCCTCCTTCCTCCGCGCGTTGCTCGCACGCGCCGTCTCAAAACTCCCCGCGCTCTTCTCCACCGTCGGTTTCCTACCCCCGGCCGAAGAAATTCACCGGTTCTCAGTCGTGGAACTCGCCGGATTCGTCGACCTCACACCGTGGCACCGGTTCGGATTCATCGCGGCCAATGCGGCCATCTTAACCGCCGTGGAAGGTTATTCAACGGTACACATCGTTGACTTAAGTTTGACTCATTGTATGCAAATCCCTACTCTCATAGACGCTATGGCAAACCGACTAAACAAACCTCCGGTTCTCAAACTCACCGTCGTTCCTTCCTCCGACTTGCCACCGTTCATCAACATCTCCTACGAAGAGCTCGGATCAAAACTCATCAATTTCGCAACCACACGTAACATAGAAATGCAGTTCACAATCATACCTTCGTCTTACTCCGATGGCTTCTCTTCCCTCCTCCAACAATTACGTATTTACCCTTCTTCTTTCAACGAAGCTCTCGTTGTTAACTGCCACATGATGCTTCGTTACATCCCCGATGAAACCCTAACCTCATCATCATCGTCCATACGAACGGTTTTCTTGAAACAACTCCGGTCTTTGAATCCAACAATAGTAACCCTAATCGAAGAAGACGTGGACCTCACGTCAGAGAACCTGGTCACGCGTTTACGATCGGCTTTTAACTATTTTTGGATCCCTTTCGATACAACGGATACGTTTATGAGCGAGCAGAGACGGTGGTACGAGGCGGAGATAAGTTGGAAGATAGAAAACGTGGTGGCTAAGGAAGGGGCGGAGAGGGTTGAGAGGACGGAGACGAAGAGACGGTGGATTGAGAGGATGAGAGATGCTGAGTTCGGCGGAGTTAGGGTTAAGGAAGAGGCGCTTTCCGATTTGAAGGCGATGCTGGAGGAGCACGCCGTAGGGTGGGGGATGAAAAGTGAAGACGATGACGAGAGTGTTGTGTTGACTTGGAAAGGTCATAGTGTTGTATTTGCTACTGTTTGGGTACCGGTTTAAATCGGGTTGATTTGAGTTTAGTTATTTTTTAATTGGAGATTGTTGTTGATTAATATTTGCTCTGAGATCTGATTTGATTACAGTTTTTAAAGATCTTTTATCTTATTCTAATAAATAATTTTCCTAACTCTTATATTATATCAACTAGAAAATAAACTTCAAATTTCTTATTTCATTATAAATGATATTTTATGAACGAATCTACTTTTCTATTTCAGTTAGAAGTACAATACATAATTCCACATACGATTTCAAAACAGACAATTTTATTATAGTGGACAGTTTTATTTACTTTAACGCGTAAGATCATGACGAATTTTTTTATCTAGACCGGCTAGAAAAATCTTTGGCAAGATGGCGAACTTCATTACTCTACAAATTTGTATTTTCTTAGAAATTGAAAACCAAAATGTAAAAACATTAGTAAATCTATGTTCAACCACTAAAGCAAATGAAATTCCACATATTAGCTACAACATTTTGTATCGGAAAAAAAGAAATAATGAAGTAGAAAAGTCGCTATTGTGATTAATTGTAGCAGTACTAACACATATTGTTAAATATTTTTAAATATGATAAATTTGTAAACATTAATTGTATGTAAACAAAATGTTTGTTTTGAATTTTTGAATTTGATTGTCGGAACAATATTTTAGAGAAATTTTTAAAAATGCTATTTTTCAAATGCTACTTTACAAAAAATGCCACATTTTTGTAATCTTTACAAAAATACCACTTTTTCAAAATTATTTTTTCTTTATATTATTTATGTTTGGGTTAATTATGTTCTA